TGTTCACTTTTGAGACTGGCCTTTGGGTTGAGGGCTGTACTTTTTGCAGTTTTGAGGTTTAATTGAGGGAGAAGCTGTGATTCAGAATCTATCTGCAGATTCCAGTATCCACCAACAGGTGTATGGGCACTGGAACCCACCTCCCACTGCCTGACAATCTGTCCATGCAGCGGGGTTTAGACTTGCTCCCTAGAACAAAAGGAGCTAAGAAAAAGGAAAATAATGGAAGGGGGGGGGTCAAGAGGAAGTTGGAGAGAGAAGAGTAAGAGGGAAAACAGACATACATACCAACTAACAAATGAAAAGAGACACAAGAAAAGAGTAAAAAACAAACAAATTCCCTAAAGCATACCTGTAATCACAGATAGTCCAATAAAATCTTGTCTTTTGATGTGTTTTTCCCCAACACAAACAGGTAGTCTAAATCAAAAAGCAATCAAAAGTGAACAAACAGTCAAAACAATAAAATCAGAAATCAAAATAAGAAACCAGACTAGTTCTGGAGTCTTTCCTGAGTGTCTAAAGTCTCTTCAGCTCTGATCTCTAACCCCTCCCCTTTGCTCTCATTACAGGCAGATAGATTTACTCATAGATTGGGTCAGTGCCCTTGGCTTACTACCTTGCTGCCTGAGGACTCAGTTGCTTGTATCTGATTCAGCATGGGGGAGGGGCTTCTGTCTCCTGTTTTGGCAGGTTACCTTAGAAACAAGGTGGAGGCTGCTCTGAGATGGGCAGGGCAATGCGAGTCTCTGCCTGGAAAATGTCTGTGCTGGGTGGCTCCTCTTTTGCCAATCCTTTCTCTCAACTTGTCCTTTCTCTCCACTCGTCCAGGTCCATAGGTGATCTACTATGATGGGCAATGGTGAGTGTCTGGCATCAGGCACTGGCAACCAGCAATATGGCTGGGTGCTGCATTTGTTGTGCAGCTGGCGGCTTCGGGTGGGGAGGGAGCAGGAAATTTCCCAGCTGGAGCCAAGAGCCGCAGTGTCAGCAGCTGGCAGCAAACAGCAGTAGCCCCTTGCAGAGGCCCGTAGTGTGATGGAGGCTGTTTGCTGCATGGGACTGGCTATAGCAGCCCCCCCACCCTGTGTAGGCGGTAGCTGCGGGGGCACGTAGAACTGCCTTCAGGAGTTCAGGAGTCACCTTTTGTGGAGATCATCACAGTTCAGTTGGTTCTGTCGCCATCTTGCTCATGAGTCTTGCTTTTTAAAAATAATCACAATAAAAATCAAAAAATCAGCTGGGCGTACGTTAGGTTCCCAGTTTATCATTTGTATTTTAATTTTGATATATGTTAAAATGTGGTGCTCATTGTCACTTATTTGTGTGGTTAAATATGCCAATCTTTTCCTTTACGTTTCCTGTCTAGCTTACACAGGTCTTTCAGTATAACATTTTCTCCTCATCTTTTTTACTTTTCTTTAAAAAAATTCACACTATTATTTCATCTGGTATATACTTTTTTGTACAGTGTGAGCTAGGAATCGAACTTTGTTTTCTTCCAGTGAATACTTACTTGTACCAGTACCTTTTAGCAAAACATAAATACAAGTTTTCCAATAAATAGAAGTTATCTCTTCTACAAATGCTCCCATAATTTGAGGATGTATATTTGACCTTTTTTTCCCCCATCAGTCTATTTACCTATTTCTTGCCAATACCATACTGCTTCATATTTGATGAGTCAAGACCAGTCTATTTTTAAAAATGTTTTTGGCATTCTTGTCTAATTTTCCATATGAATTGTGACATCATCTTATCTCATCCACCAAAAAGTGAGCTTTGGATAGATACTGCATTCCTAGTATTATATAGAGCTTGATACTTTTATTAATCTTCCCATCCAAGAACATAGCCTCTTTCTCTATTTGTTCAGGATTTGTTTTGTGTCCCTCAAGAAGATTTTATATTTATCTTTATATAAGACTTACATCTTTGTTGATCAACTATTTCTAAGCATTTTATAGTTTTAGCTATCATGAATTTTTTTTTTTTTTTTTTGAGTTGGAGTCTCACTCTGTCACCCAGATTGGAGTGCAGTGGCTGCTCCTGGCCACCGCAGCCTCGCCTGCTGGGTGCCAGCAATCCTTCCGCCTCAGCCTTCCAAGTGCTACCACACCTGGCTAATTTTGCTATCATGAATTTTTTTCCATTTAAATTACTAAGAGGTTATTGCACGTATACAGAAAATGAACATCTCCAAGCTTACTTTGCATGACTCTGCTGCAGTCACTCTCATCTTCTTTTGAGACTCAGATGGCTAAGCAACTTCTCATCCCAAGGTCTTTCTGGGCATTCTTCCTTTGCCTGCCATGCTCTTTCTCGTTATTTCTTTGGCAGACTTTTATTTATTCTTTAGATCTTGACTTAAATATCATTTTCTCAATGTCTCTCTTCCTCTATAGCCCTCCTCAAAATTTGCATTTATATACTAATATTTCTGTTAGATGTATTTCTTTCTGATTTTAAGTTCATGAGATTTTTTTCTCAACACTGTGTATGTGGGTCTAGCACACCGTATATTCAGTAATCGATCATGTCTGTGGAACCCATTCTTTTTTACCACCTCTGTTCTTCATCTCAAAAATCTTGTTTCTTCTCCACTTGCTAATTCTCTTGACTTTCAAATCACTCTAAACTTCACTTCATCTTAAAAAATTGAACTGCTACTATTTTTGGTTATCATTTCATTTTTCCTTTTGCTTTCCACTCTAATCTTCTGAAATAGCTGTTTTGAAGATGATATGGTGTGTTTCTCATTAAGCCCAGGGGCCTAATCTCAGTCCTTATCATCTTCTATTTCTTTGTTGTAACCCATGACAATGGATAACTTCACATTTTGGGGAGCGGGAGTTAGCTTGCTTTTGCATCCTTTACCTCTTTCCTTGACACCACCTCTCCTCATTCCCAATGAGTTTGCATCTGTGTTCAGCCTTCTGCAGTGCTTAGTTATACTTGCAGCATAATAATGCTCATTTATTAATTTAACAAAAATAACTTGAGTGATCACCACAAATGAGGCATTGTATTAAATGTTGAACACCACAGTGACTGACACAGGATGTAGTTTTCCTCTGAGCATTTAGAATCTAGCAGAGAGATTGAAAGAAAATAATCATACAAGTAATCATTTGGCTAGAGTTGGGCCAAACACTGAATGTAAAAGTACAGGATGTGGTCTGGGTGGTTCCTGAGAAAGTTATTTAAAGTCAGCTTTGAAAGATTAGTTGGATTTTTTTCCCAGCAAAAAGGGAAGAGCCTTAAGCTACACTGTTCCTAAGGAAGAGCTTGGGACCTTTGAAAAACTAGGTCGGTGGGACTATGGGGAGAACAAGGCAAAAGTGATGGAAGTATAGCAGAGAAGGCACCCACATATTCTCTTCCTGTCATGTAATAATAGCTACATTTATCAAGCACTCATTTGGTATGCAGTGTTGCATTCAGTCATTATAAAATATATTGCATGTAATCCCAGCACTTTGGGAAGCCAAGGCGAGTGGATTGCCTGAACCTGAGGGTTTGGGACCACCCTAGGCACCTTGGTGAGACCTCGTCTCTACAATAAAAAATTAGCCGGGCGTGGTAGTACACGCCTGTAGTTCTGGCTACTTGGAAGGCTGAGGCAGAAGAATCGCTGGAGCCCAGCAGGTCGACGAAGCTGGGGTGGCCGTGAGTGTGCCATTGCACTCCAGCATGGACGACAGAGTGAGACTCCAACTTAAAAACTAACAAATAATATATATATGTATACATATATTGCACTTTAATTCTCCTACAGAGTTAGGAAATAATATCACTATTTTGCACACAAGAAAGTGAGGATTTGAGAAATTAAATAATTTAACTACAGAACTGTACTTCTAGAGAGGAGTAAAAAAAATGATTTACTATGCATAATGACAGTGAAAATAATAACTTAAACGTTTCCTTTGACTTTAAGTTTTAATATGAGATTACTCTAGGATCCAAGTTAAATGAAATAGGTATATAAGAAGACCAGAAAAAAAGAACCTCCCTTAAATAAATCTCTCAATTAAAAATAAAATAAATGTTACTAACTTTCCCATCTTTCTCTGAAAGATAATCTGATGAGTCTGTTTTAAATCATGATTAATTATATCATAAATTGACATGTAACTAAAAATAATGCAATAACTTCATAGAAGTCTTCACTGACTCAAGGGCTTCACTGCAGTTATCTTTGTCAATAATGTCATCATTTTGATTTTTAAAAATAACTTCATCAATTTGGTGGTACCTATCACTGCACCAATTAATACATTTAAACATATATACCCAGCACTGACTTTTCTAATAAATATACTTTTGAAGCAAAATTTCAACCAGTCCCAAACAGTCCTAAAACTGACTGCTACTTTACAATTGCAAACATGCAGACACACATATACACACTCATACCAAAGGTTCTTTAATACAAGTTATAGCTTATTCAGGTAGCAATTCCTCATCATGGTCTGTTTGGAATGTAATCCTGATGTGTAAGGTATACCCATTCACTCTACCACCAGTATGGCAGATTTTATCCCATTAAGATCTTTCAGATTCAATGTTTCCAGGCATAGTAGCAGCCTTCACTTATTATGTGAAAAGAACATTCAATATATAAATTATCTGTAACATGGTTAGCAGCCCATTACAGTGACAGAAATTGAATCTACTGCCTAAATTTGAGACTCTAAAGGTTCAAAGCAGGAAGATGAATGTTTCATCTTTTAGAAAACTTTTCTTATTCAAAAACAGAAAATGATGCACAGAAGAGAACAGAACATGTAAAGATGTGCCTCAGTTTAATGCACATTAAAAAAAAACTACTTCTTAGGATCTGTCAAACCTCTGTTATCACCTGTGACTATTTCAATTCTTAGGCTTCTCCAAAATGGTGAAGTTATGGAAATGTGGAAGAATTGTTTGTAGGTTAAATGTCAAATAAAATAAACAATGGGAAACCTTAGGGGAAAAAAATCACAGATACCCAGAAATTTTACTGTATTTGTTTTTTATTTTTATACTTTTATTTATATTAGGATATTATACAATTTTCAAAGCCAATAACAGAATCTTTTTTGTATATGTATTCAAAGCATAACAAAATAAAAGTATTTCACAAAAGATGTCCATATTACAGTACTATTGAAATATGAGGCACATGTAATTATGCATTGGTGGGTTATAAACATAATACATTCACTTTAAAGAATAAACATTTAATGTGAATAACATTTTGGTTAAAATAAATATCATGGTAAATGTTAACAGCAACACCTGAAGTATATATCAGGATATAAGAAAGGTGTTTTGTAATAGATACTATGTAGAATGGTAAAGCATTCATGAAATAGCTGTAATAGCTAACTAAATTTACAATCATTGCACATTGTTGAGCACTTTACTTATACTGAGATACCCTTCATTCACCATTCCTAAACCTCACCATACAAAACAAAGTTACCCCACATTTTCCCCTGGGTAACTGGTACCAATGTCTAAATAAGGTTTAGAATCTATATACCTTTCATTTTACTGCTTTTGAAATCAATTCGAATGTTAAATTTAATCAATATACAATTTACTATAAACAGAAACATAAAGAGAACATTTTATAGGTGATTATATAAATTAGAACTTCTAATCAACTTCATAATTCTTTGAAATGATCCCATGCAAAATTAAAATTTGATTTTTACACAGTGGTTTCCTCAGGAAAAGTATGAACATTTAGATTTTTAAAAAGATATAATATCTGAAACAGAATGTTTCCATATGTAGAAAATAATAATGGTTTCCCTGATCATTAAATTTTTCTCAGTTATTTCCTTCTAGCAGATAGATTCAATATGAAGAAAAGCTTACATCTTTACTTAAAAGTCACTGTGAGGGGTCAAGCTAATGAATTTTAGATCCATGTGTTCTTAAAGAGTTCAAGAAAAAGGAGAGTATTTGTTCCAACCAGAGAACATTTCATCTCAGTCAACTGTATCATGTTAAAATGAACATGACATTAATGGTTGACAAAAACAATTCTTCTCATATTTCTAGGGATAAATCTATGGATGCTTAGTGTAAATGTAAAAAGTCACGAGAACCTGAGGAAAACAATGTATTCAGCCCTCATAAAAACCAAAAAACAACCAGATTTTCTTTGCTTATTCCAAAATAAAATTACCCTTCCGATACCATACATAACCGAGTAGATTTTGAAAAACAGGAGTTTATACTTTTTGCCCTTTATATATTTTTAAAGTTTATAAATGACTTCAAAAGATTCAAAATGAGTATAAGAAAAACACATACAAACAACAAAACCAGCAGTTACATTGGCTAAAGGGAGGTGTTCTCTGAACATAAGGTTTTCACGTTGGCAGGATAATTCATCCCAATGCTTGATAGTGACGTTGTGTCCTTTACTAGTGGCTGCCTCCTGGCTTTCAGGAACTGGTTGCCACTATTATGAAAGGCATTCGGAGAAAACATATCTGCACAACAGCATTTACTAAACTCTGCCCATTTCCTTAAACTAATTGAAGCATTACCATCTCTTTCATCTTCATGCACAAATATAGTACTTTGTTCAAAAGCTTCTCAATAGAAATGTTAATCTCAAAACAATCTGGCTGTCATAATGGCCAGTTTTCATTTCATTAAACATATTCTAGAATTACAACCTTGTCAAATGAATTGAAACTGTATCAACATTCACAGGTACAATACAACACACATCCTTTCTTCCTCTTTAACAAGACCAAGTACATGCATATAGGGCAGCCCAAATTTTAAAAAGCTTAAAAAAAGTTTTCAATTCAGGAAAAGTGTTGGTATGCTAATGTCTTTTAAAAGAGTATATGTTCTCAGAAAATATGAAACATTAATGATAAAATGCATATAAATATAAATAAGAAAGTAACTTGAAGAATATAAAAAATTTCTGAAGGAAACCAATCAGAATTTCAAAAAACTATGAATAAAAACATATGCTTACATTATAGTATACAATTATGAGTTAAAATGCATTTAAATTTATAAAGAAATTGAAATATAGTACTGCAAGGTTACTCAAAGATTTTTCAAATGTACAAACAATAGTAAAACACAAAAAAGCCTTGGGCAACGTGCAACTTTAAAAATTACTACCACACCAGTCAACAAATCCTTAACCACTTTTTAAATGGATTCATTTATACCATTTCAATGCAAAGAGAATATCAAAATATCAAAACAAAACAAAAAACTCTTCAGTGTCTGACTCACATTTTGTCCCCAAATCTTTTCACATTTAATAGTTCCATTTTTAATGTATAAGCTAAGAATTTCAAATGTTTCTCAGTTTGTCTACATTTATCCTAAAAATTAATTTGAAAGCTACACTGCTAAGAACTAAAACACGTACTTCAAACTTTTAAAAAACGAAATAATCACAATTCACAATTGTGTTCATCTCAATGTCCATAAATTACCAACAAACAAACACGTCACATGTTCAGATACTTTTCTCATCAGGTTTCGAGTCTATCCTGACGTGTGCCAAGCTGCACCTTCAAATTTGGCACTAGCAGTCTATCTGAACATAATTTATCAGCAGAAAACTCTAAACAATTCTAAAAACCTTTAGCCATTAGAAGCCATACTCTCCTAACATGCAATTTAATTATTCCAAAGTCATTTGAGGGGTTGCTAGAAGGTGATTTTGATTGGTACAAAATGAAGCTTATATTAAAACTGGTTAAGGATTCAAAGCACATGAGCTCTGAAATATTAATCTTAACACCCAGACATAAACAGGGAGGTATGATTTGCATAAGAATACTTTAAATTATTTTGGTTATGTTTCATGATCTTGTACATGTTTAGCTGCTTGCAGTACATGCATGCATCCTCTTTGCTACGTCATAAACATAGGTGATGTCTGGTCGCTTCTCTGGATCTGGATTGATACAAATATTAACTAACTGTCGTAGCTGCAAAGAGAGAAAAACAATACAATCTGTCTGAGACAACCTTTTCACAGTTATTTTAAAAGAAATAGTTATGAATAGCTATAGACTTAAAAGGAAAGTACATTTTCTGACTGAATATTCACTTTACTAAAAATATGTATGACTGCTGTTAACGATTTTATATCAGCTAAATTTTCTGATTAGAGAGTACTAATGTCAACCAAGAAGTATTTTTTACAACCAGAGGCTTTATTTTTTCAGAGAAGTTTAATCAGAAAATAGCAGTCACCAAAGACAGTAGGGCGATAACTATAAGCCTCCAAGTTAACTGTATATATACACAAGTATTTGATGTAGAACTTACTACATTAGACTTAATTGCAAACTTAAATTCTTAAAAGATGATTAGAATAGATGGCTACCACATACATTTAGAACTGTTTTACATACATATAAATTATAATATGTTTATATTAGAGAAAACTAATAACAAATTGCAAGCAAGGGATGTTTTAAGTATTATTATAATTCTCAGCTATGTGAAGTATTTAAATGTTCTCACATTATAAATGAGTTGAGGTTTATTTATTTGCATCACAGAATAAAAACACATCTCAATAAATTAAGAAAATATTCTCCCATTTGGTCCCAGATTTAACAGGCAGAAGGATACAGGATTTTATTCTGTTCTAACTGCTATTGGCTTATGAAATTATGTGTCATCATAACACTGTATATGGTCTTTCATAGACAATAAACCAAATCAAGAGGAAAAAACAGATTCTTTTACCGCGTAAGTCTGTCTTTAGGAATAATTTAGACATTTTGAAAACTTACATTAACTCTTTCTGGTCACTATATTAGCACTTAGTAAATTATCAAATTACCATAATTTCTTTATTGTCCTCAATTTCTACTGTAAAATAATTTTAAATTAGAGGAAATAAGTGGGAGAAAATGTGTGAGCTATGTGACTAGTGCTATAGAGAAAGCTAATGCTAGTGAGAAGCATCAATCTGAAGGAAGAGGTGTGTCAAGGAAGTTGCCAGAGGAGGGGTCAGGGTTTGGTAAGAGTAAAGTGGAAACCAGTCTTGTTGAAGGCGCTTGGAAGCCCTGCGCCCTAAGGTAAGTCGCTGTCTCTGGAGGTATATTTCTTTCTTTATTCAATAGGGAGACTGGAGTAGATGACCTATAACAGTTCTTCTGACTCTAATCCCTCAAATTGTATGATTCTAGTGGAATAAAATTCAATGATTCAATTTTAGCCACATTTGGAATTCCAACAATGTTGGCTATTAATGTTACACCCACTGACAGGGCCGGAAGATTTTAACTTATATATTCCTTGCAAAAGAGCAGAGAATAGTATTAAAAACCCTTAAGGGTTATAGCAATACACAAGATATTTTATTATAGAAATCTAAGAGAAATGTATTTACTTATTGGTTTATTGATTGATTTATTGATTTGGAGTCTCACTTCGTCATCCAGGCTGGAGTGCAGTGGCACGCTCATGGCCACCCCAGTATCGACCTGCTGGGCTCAGGCGATCCTTCCACCTCACACCTCAGCCTTCCAAAGAGCCAGAACTACAGGCGCATGGTACCACACCCAGCCAAGTTTTTATTTATTGTAGAGACGAGGTCTCGCCAAGTTGCCTGGGCTGGTTTTGAATCCACGAGCTCAGGCAATCCTTTTGCCTTGGCCTCCCAATGTGCTGGGATTACACGCTGAGCCACTGAGCCCAGCCTCTAAGAGAAATTTAATAAGAAACACGTTGGCATTTTACCAGTTAAAATAAAACCAAATATATTCAGTTGTACACAATACAGAAAAATGTAGAAAAAGCCCTTATATGGTGACACATATTTTAAAAATGTGTTCTAACAGGTCACATAACAGTCAGATATTTTGTTTAGAGATAAAAATAAAGAGAACAGAAAGAATGGCACAAAAAGATAACTGTGATATAAAAATTCTTTATATTTAACCAAAACACAAGTAGATACTATTACAATTTTTGACTCCATAACACTACCACATCCTTCAAGCTGGCTCAGAATCCTCACGTTTTCTGTAAAATAATTTAGAATAGGGTGGAATTTCCAACCACTCATAATAAATGACCCTGAAGTTCTCCTGGCATGAGAAAGAACCAAGATTAGAGATACAATAATGCAAGTTTAAATGAAGAAGACAGCAATTCTCTAGCTCATCAAAGTAAAAGACAAGAGTTGGTAATAAGAAAAAGGGAGAAAGATAATAGAGAGGTAATGGGAGTATCCATGAACAGTTGCTCCTGAACTTCTCCAGGATGGCCTTGGACAAGCACGGTGGCTCATACCTGTAACCCCAGTGCCTTGGGAGGCTGAGGCAGGAGGATTGCTTGAGATCAGGAGTGATACTCCATCTCTACTAAAGTAAAAAAAAAATAACTGGATGTGGTGGTGTGCGCCAGTACTTTCATCTACTTGGGAGGCAAGGTGGGAGCATCGCTTGAGCCCAGAAGCTATGATTGTGCCACTGCACTCTAGCCTGGGCAAGACAGCAAGACCCTGTCTCTAAATAATAATAACAAATAAATATTAAAAATGAATGGCCTTCATAAGCAATTACAGGTCAATCAATAATCCTACCATAGGCAGAGCCAAAGCAACCTAGAGTTTCTTTTACTGTTTCGATCTCCACTAAATAAAAAGTTTATTTTACCATATTTTTCTTTTCCAGAGAAATAAACAGCGCTATCACTATATAAAACCACATGTGTGAAATGTAGAATATGCATACCTCACTATATTTATGAATCAAAGTCTGTTAATATAATTTTTCCTAAACTGTTACATAATAAACAAAATATTTAAAAAAGAAACCCCTATAGAATTAAAATACGTTTTGCAGCAACTTCCACTCATTCACCTCACCAATATTCCTAGAAGATCTACTCCACCATAGACACAGGATAAGACAAAGAATGTGTCCACAAGGGAAGTCTTGCTGTCTGGGATGAGAAATAAGAGAGCAGTCTATTTTCCTTTCTAAGTGCCTGACTCTTTCTTCCTTTCTTTCTGCCCCTTCCTTCCTCTCTTTTTACTCATTCATCTGTTCATTCAGTAATTTCGTATAGAGTATTTATTATGTACCAGACACCGTATTAGGTGGTAAGAATAAGGCCATAAGAAACATATATAGCACATGCCCTTATGTAGCTTACAATCTAGTGAAAGATAGAACAAAGAAATAAATGTGAGAGCAAAGAAATCATATAAATCGTTCTATTATAAACTGCAAACTAGTAAGTATCTCAAGAGATATGTACAAGATAGAAGTAAAAGACTAAGTGCAGCTGCCCGGAGGAAGGATCACTACTATCTTCTTTTTCCACAGTCTGCTCAGCTCTGAGTAGTTGCACCTCGTGCACCAGGGACACTGTATTTGCAGCACTCTTCATCCCAAATACTGCAGCCATCATCTTGGATCATGCTCACCTTAATTTGCATGGCATCCAATACAATCCTCCTTGATTACCTTGCCATAATCTTCACCTTCATTTCATTTTAGTCTCTATCTTTCAGGGACACAGTCTGTCACCTAAAATGCTATGTCACCTCAGAAATGTAGCCAGGTATGGTGGTTCATGCCTGCAATTCCAGTACTTTGGGAGGCTGAGGCAAGAGGACTGCCTTAGCCCAGGGGTTTCAAACCAGCCTGGGTAATTTGACAATACCTCGTCCCTACAATACATCAGAAGATTAGCCGGGCATGGTGGCACATGCCTCTAGTTCCAGCTATTTGGAAGGATGAAGTGGAAAGATTGCCTGAGCCCAGTAGGTCGAGGCTGTGGTGGCCGTGAGTGTGCCACTGCTCTAGTCTGAGTCACAGTGACTAAAAAAAACCCCTAAAAACACACACACACATACACACACAAAGAAGTGTAAGCACAAACTCCTGTCCTCCAGGTCTCTCACTCCCTTCCTCCAGTGTGGTTGTGTTTTGAGACGACTGAGGCCAATTCCAATCCCTTTTGTCCTGGTCAGTCCTTTCCTTTTGGATTTAGGTCATCCAACTCCAGCCTAGACCTTAACTTCTCTGACATTTCCTTCTTACTTTTCTTTGTAGATTAATCTTGCTTTGAAAATCTATCAAATGTTGGTGGGCCCCAAAGGTTTCCTTTCCTTAGCTCTTTTCCCTTTTAACTTTACCTTCTTATCCTAAAGAACCACATTTACTCCCATGGCTTCAATAACCATCACGGAGCTGAGGAACACAAATACGTATCTTCTTCAACCTAGACCTCTCTCTAGGCTTCATTTACATATCTCCAGTTGCCTTCTGAGTATAGTTACCCATAAATAGTCATATTAAACATATTTAAGACTGAGGTCTTAATTTTTTTTTCTCCCCTAACCAGGTCTTCCTATCTTGGACAGCACCTCCAATTTCTTATGACAGATATCTGAGACTTGAACAAAACACCTCATCATACTTCCGCTCCACCTGCCTAACCATCACCACCAAGTCCCACTGTTTCCAGATTGCTCAAGCCTTGTGTTTGTCCTTGCCACACCTTCTCCACTGCCACACAACTGACAGTTTTGCCTCCAATTTTCATCCAACCTTCCTAGTACTGCCTGACTACCAAGTTTAATAGAGATGAAATCTCTCTAGACTCAGGTCTCCCAAAGTGCTAGGATTACAGGCATGAGCCACTGCACCCAGCATACTCCCATATTTTTGCTTATGATGCTCCTCTGCTTACCACCCCTCCATCAACCTACCCACACCCGTGCCTGTCTTACCTATGCATCCAGCTATATCTTCTCTAAAGTCTCTCCTCACTACATTATTTGACATGCAGAACTTATTATTTTCTACTTGGCCTTTGCTGCATCCCTCATGTACTTTTATTAAAGCCCTTATCACACTTTATTGTGCTTCATTTAATCTCTGTGCTTCCTATTAAACTGCAAGATCTGGAGGGTGGATACTGGATGAACGGTAAGTGCTAACTGGCTTGTTGAATG